ATACGGAGATGGAAAATGGGAGAAATAAGGTATTTAACTTCCAAATGTCCCAGTTAGATACTAAAATAATTAACGAGAAACTTGAAGAAGTCTTCAACAAGCTCCATTCTGCAGCCAAAATCAACATTGCACTGGGTTTTGTTCTTCGAAATATTGAGACTGGTGAATATCGATATTTCTACGCCCATGAAAACAATACTCTGTTTGAAAAATCCCACTTACTTTGTACGAAAGCGGATTTGATAACAATCCAAGGAAAAGTAGAAAAATTTGATATTGTGGAGCAATGTACCCAAGAACGCCAGAACACAAAGTGGCGATTCAAGTTGATTACTAACGTTACAATTTTTGCTGCTTTGCTGAAAAACATCCCCATGGGATGTCCGGACTCTGTCTTACCCGAACCTTTATTACGACATACGCAAGTGAATTGTCTTTTATCTAACAAAGACAAGGAACCTTACAAAGATCATTTGTGTCTTTTCCGCGCATTGGCCATGTACATGAACGGACACAATGATCTCGACACTCACACCTCCAGATATTTTACAGAATTCATAACAAAATCTGGTTATGATCCTAAGAATTTTTGTGGAGTTTCCGTTGAAGACTTACCTGTTGTCGAGGAAATAATTGAACGCAACATCTTTATTTACGATTTTGATATTCAGGAGGGAGAATATGTGGGAGAACTAGCACGAAGAAGTATAACAATCATATTATTCATACAAAGGATATAGATAGCTTCTTTAAGTGTTTCCGGTGCCCTAGTTGTGATAGTTTCTTCAAAAGATCCGAGTTTCTCAACAAACATCTTCTGAGATGTAAGGATCGTGTGAAACATATTTACCCAAAGAACGTATATGAGCTTCGCAAAACCTTGTTTGAAAAGCTAGAAGGATTCAATCTTCCAGTTTCCGATGATAAAAAACTCTTCAAAAACCTAGCAATTTTCGATTTTGAGTCGATATGTGTTCCTACAGAAGAACTAAAAGAAACACAAACTACTACCTGGATAGGAAAACATGTTCCTATTTCAGTATCTATATCATCGAATCTGATTGATGAACCCATCTTCTTATACAACAAGGATCCACAGAACTTGATAATTGATTTTGTATCCAACCTCGAGCTGTTGGCTGAACAAAGTAAGCTAGAAATGAGAAAAAAATTTCAAGATATTGAAGTAGCTGTCAATGAAAGAATGAAGAAGATCTTTGATCAGCTAAACGAACGTGGTAAAAATTATTCAAGTAACAAATTCGAGTACGAAGACGAATGCATTGAAGATTCGGAAGAAGCAGATATGTCAACACAATTTTTGCGAATTCAGAAAAATCAACTCATCGATTTGAAACAACATCTGGAGAGATATATAAATACTTTACCTGTTTTTGGATTTAACAGCGGTAGATATGATTTAAATTTGATCAAGTCCTACCTAATCCCCTATTTGATTCGCGATAAAGAACAAGAAACATCCGTCATCAAAAAAGCAAATGATTTTATATCTTTCAAGTTTGGAGATGTACAATTTCTTGACATTATGAAATTTCTGGGTGGAGCAACAACTCTGGACTCATTTCTCAAAGCTTATAAAGCTAGTGAAACAAAAGGATTCTTTCCTTATGAGTGGTTTGACAACCCTGACAAACTTGATTTTCCAGGACTGCCCCCATATGAAGCATTTTTCAGTAAACTTAGAAACAACAATCCTCTAGACAAAGACTTTACTGATTATGAAAAACTGAGGAAGAGTGGACTTGATGAACAGCAAGCACTGAAAAAGCTTCAAATCAAGACTGTACCCCCATCTGGACTAGATAATTACAGTTACTTACAACAAACTTGGCAGAAAAACGGAAGATATGTTGAAACTTGGATGTACACTTCCAAATCTAGCAAACATATGTCTACACAAATCTACAAATTACAAGTTTTATCCATTTTGCGAAAGTGATAAAGATTTGTGTGAAAAAATACGAGAAGACATGACCGGTGGACCTTCGATTGTGTTTACTCGAAAAGCTGTTGTGGACGAAACCTTTATCAGAGATTCATCAAATATTTGTAAGTCAATCGTTGGAATTGATGCGAGCCAGCTTTACCCCTATTCAATGTGTCAAGATATGCCAACAGGACTGTATACGAGATGGGAGTTTGACACTGATATGCAGAAATTCAAGGCTAGACATAATCGAACTCGCAACTTTGAGAATATGCTCATGTCTTTCTATCAAGAATCAAGACCAGAATGTAAAATTGAGAGCTTTTTTACATCTGGAAAACAGAAGAAAATTGACTGTTTTAATGTGGACGGTTATTGTGATCACTGTAAAACAGTATTCGAGGCAATGGGTTGCTACTATCACTTTTTTTCTTGTCAAGAAACTCGTCCCTCCTTAACAGAACAGGATATTGAGCGAGGAAACAAGAAGAGAGAAATGGATGATATGCGACGAGAATACATTAAAGAGAAAGGATACAAAGTGGAAGAAATGTGGGAAGGTGACTGGTGGGAAAGTTTCAAAACCGATGAAAAGATCAAAAATCACGTCAGAACCCACTTTCCCAATAAAAGACCTCTTTCTACAGACTCACTTCTAGCAAAAATAAAAGATGGATATCTTTTTGGCTACGTTCAGTGCGACTTAGTTGTTCCAGATGAACTGAAATCGAAATTTGCGATTTTTCCTCCAATTTTAAAAAACACTGAGGTTGGAAGAAACGATATTGGTGACTATATGAAGAATTATGCTATTGAAAATGAAATGTTGAAACATCCACAGAGAATGCTTATATCTAGCTTCAAGCTAGAAAATGGAACAGTTATAACTCCTCTCTTCAACTTTTATTTGGAATTTGGTTTGCAATGCACCAAAATTTATCGTTTTGTTGAATATTCTCCTCGGAAATGCTTTAATAATTTCGTTCAGTCAGTGGTTGATGCAAGAAGAGAAGGAGATGAAAACCCTCTATCAGGAGTTGTAGCAGAAACAATGAAGCTCTTGGGCAATTCCTCCTATGGATATCAGATCATGGACAGATCCAGGCATACAATCACGAAGTATCTGAACGATGAAAAAACTCACAAGGCAATCAATGAACCACTGTTTAAGAGACTTAACACAGTTGAGAAGGACTTATATGAGGTGGAGTTATTGAAGTCAACCATTGAGCACAGAGAACCCATCATCGTTGGTTTTTTCATACTTCAGTATGCAAAGCTGAGAATGTTGGAACTCTACTACAACTTCTTTGACAAGTTCTGTGATGTAAATAATTTTGAAGAGTTGGAGATGGACACAGACTCACTTTACTTGGCACTTGCAGAAGAAAATTTGTACGATTGCATCCAACTAGATAAGAGAGCTGCTTGGGAAAAAATGAGGGAGAGTGATTGCAGAGATTCCTTCAAGGCGGATGCAAAATCCAATTTCTTTCCTCAAACCTGTTGTAGTATCCATAAAAAACATGATAAGCGGGAGCCGGGACTTTTCAAAGAAGAATTTAGGTGCACAGAAATGCTCTGTTTATGTAGTAAGACATATTGCTGCTATGACAACAAGTCAGACAAATTCAAATTTAGCAGCAAAGGATTGAATAAGCGGGTTCTAGAAGACTCTGGAGATGGACCTTTAGCAAAGTATAGGAGAGTGCTTGATGAAGCAATTAATCTTACATCTACTAACAGAGGATTCAGAACTATAAATCATATGGTGGCCACATATGAACAGACAAAGAAAGAACTAAGCTATTTTTATCCAAAAAGACAAGTACAAGATGATGGAATTCATACAAAACCACTGAACTTATAAGAACTGATCTGGTTAAGTAAACTTATTCATGATGTTGTATTATATTGGCTTTATGATGTTAAAATGTAAAATGTTGCGGTAAACTTGTTATACAATGCAGTGATTTATATACTTTCTTTGTAATTTAAACTTTTTTCTCGGAAACTTGCCTTTTTTCGAAGTCTCTGTAGGCTTCAGCATTGTTTCAATTAGATAGAAAGTAAAATTATCGTTTCAATTAGATAGAAAGTAAGATTATTTAATAAATTACGTCAAATAATAGCTAACCTTATCGTTTTTTGAAGTTTTTTTGAAATTTTTTTCATAAAAATTTACCCAAAAACTCTTACCATTGACTTACCATGCACCAAAAAACTAAATACATAACCTTTATTCTACACGTAATTAACTATTAACTGTTCCCAATTAGATAACGCGCGCCAAAAACTTTGCGAAAAAAAAAAACATTTCCACACAAAAACCAAAAAAATTACGTTTTTCTTTATCTTACCATCACACTGAAACCTTACCATCGGTATTCCCTATCTTAATACATTGTAGACTCTATACCCAATCTTAATACATAGCATGGAAGACCCGAAGTCTATAACGTATCTTAATACATAGGGTCTTCCATGCCCCCCCCCCCCCCCCCCCCACTTAACCTCCAACATCTACTACTATCGTGAAACTAATTGGTTTATTACTTTTTACATCTATCTGAAATACATTGTAGAGCGCAATTTGCTTAATTTATAGCAGATCAATTTGAATCGAATGTATTTCTAAAGGCATTAACTAATGCTTCAATAAGTATGAATACGCGTCTGTCTTGGTTATTATAGCATTTTAAAAAATTTTCCTGAAAAAAAAACAAACAGAATCACCAAGACTTATTTAAGAATCTTCACTACGTTGATTGACTCTTGAAAACAATAAAATACTAATTACGTGCACTTCGATTATAATAACGATTTTTTTCAGGATTTAAATTAAATTAAAATGAAGGTCAAAACGATCGAAAATTTACTAAATTGTGCTAAATTTTGTAGTTTTCCCGAGTTTATGATCAGCAATCATAAACATATTTGAATGATTTACAGTTCAATCTTCATTTTCGTAGCTGAAAAAAAATTGTTTACCAATTTAAACAGCAACTGTGGGTTTAATGAGGCCGTATAGTGGAATGGAGTGATGACTCACCATCTGCGCCAAAAGGGGCCCAGCCTTCGTCCAGTCCGTCATCACAGTGGGCCACTCCGTCACACACCCACTCCCACGGAATGCACTCCTGCAACACGTAGACATCAGACTTCTTCCATTATAGCCCCCTCTCCCATTCCGCGCACAACATGGTAACCCATTGCTAGCAACTTATAGCACCCCGTAATAGAAAAAGCAAACCTCGAGGGAAGGTTTGATCGAAAGGGTAGGTCAATTTTTTTCTACAAAATTCGAAAAGTTGACCTCGTAAGAAGGGAGGGGGGCGGGTGTTGATGGCGTCTAAAATATTGAGCTGCACTTTTCTGTAACATGGGTGGGGCAATAATGGAAAAAAGCCAACCCAGGTTAGAACTTGTGGAATTCGTAAGCCAGACATAATTTAGACTAGCTTAATAGCCCAGTTGAGTTGTTATTAGCCAAAAATCAAAATGACAAACGTCCAATGCTAAAACACACATTTTTCCCTATAACTCAGGAATTTGAACCCCTCATCACCCAAAGGGTCCCCGTTTGCTATTATATTACGACATTCATTTTCGGTCGACCGATCCTAAAATGTTCCTAGAGGAGTCTTTGGCGCTTATATCTACTAACTTTGAGGGGGAGCGCACGCCAAAAAAACGCGATTTTTTTGTCAAAACTTTCCAAAAACTTTGGGGAGCGGTGGTGAAGTGGTTACGTCTCCGCCTCTCAATCGAAAGGTCGGATGTTCGAGGCCCACCATGATCCGTGCTCGTTGCTTGAGGGTGAGGCAACATTACCCAGCCCAGAAAAATAACCAAAAAAAATAATTGCATGTAGTTCTTAAACAGGGGCACAACAGCGGTTCGCCGTGATGAGCTGTACAGCTCTTGTGTTGGTCCTTTCCCCCGTGGATAAATGATATTAATTAATAACGCCTTTTTTGTCTTTTTTAATTCGCCTGCTGTGCTGAAATTGGTCAAAATAGGGTTTACTGTGACTTATAGGGTCCATCCAAGTACTTATTAGGGATTGATCGATGTGTTAACTCATTTAACCTCTCTCATTTTAAAGTAATTTGTGTTTTGGAAATGAATTAAGAAATAATGGAAAAGAGAACAGACCCCCGTGTTGATACAGTGGAAGTCATTCGGGTCACAGCTGTAGGGCAGATCGATGTCGAAGTCCTCCTCCACCGACTGCATCATTTCCGACTCCACGTAGTCGTCCAGCATGGCCAGGTCAGAGTAGCGCCTGATCTTCTCCAGCTTGCTCTTCTTCACTGGACTGTTGTTGCAGAGGGTGATGGCGGGGAAGGTGGCAGATGTGCTCCTCACCAGAGACAGAGAAGTGTCCACCTGTCATGTCATATCAATACTCATCAACCCATTCCGCCCCGCACTCCTCTTCCACATTCCGGAGGACACCCGGACAAACTTGGGGTGATCCCCAGTCCGCTTACCCAATCCAACACTTTCAAATCCCGTTAAAACCCCACATCCGCCAAATTATGATGCCATCTTAGCACTACTAAACGCTAAGCTTTTTAAAAAAGACCAATTTTTCAGGTTGGGCAGGTCGGAAATTCTGTTGGGCAGTTCGGCAATTCGTAAGAAGCGACAGTTCGTAACAAGGATAGCCAGTTACTGTGCAAGTAACACAGGATGTTCCGACCATAGCCTTCAGAAAATACAAAAAAAATTTTTTTTTTTCAAATTAGCGCCATTTTTTCTGCGTGGTGTGATAATAAAATCTGAACGAATAAATAGAACTTAGGAATATTCGACAGTCATAGTAAAATAGGCCAATTATAAAAGAAAACATTTAAGAAAGTTTTTTTTTGATTTTTTGAAGTTTTTGAATAACACACCCGAGTTCAAAGTTCCTCCTCATTTTTCAAATGGTCGGAACAACAAGCGACAGTTCGTAACGAGGGACAATTCATAGGAAGGCATTGACAAACAGAATACACTTGCTCCGCTCCCCTCCGCTTTTGATGCTTTATCCAGAAGTTTTATATCTTGTACGTTAATGATGATCAAAAATGTATAAATGAGTTATATAAACTTCAAAGTAAATTGAGGAAATAAGGGCCGAATCTGTTTCTCAATTAAGCGGTTGGCAAATCGAGGCAGAACACAATTTAGTTCGAACTATCGACTAAGAAAAAAGTAAAAATTGCTTCAGAAGATACAAAAAACGCTGATAGTTCCGACATCATTTCTCATCAAAATTACCAAAAAGTGCATCTGGAAATCTAGGCACAACGGCTTCGACGCTCTATAAATTTTCTCAGCAAATGCTTTTTTATAACAGACCTTGTACTGCAGGTAGAGGTCGACAAGGTTTATAAACTGAATGATGAAAACGGCGGTCAGTCCAATGTAGGCCAGAACCCAGAAGATCCTCAGGTACCAGTTGGCAGCTCCTGGCACTTGGGGCCCGACTGCTTCCACGAACGCCATGCAGGAGCTTCTCACTTCAGGCATTCGACCATTGCTAGATTGCGAGGCATCTGAAGCCCCTGAAAAAAAAACTATCTTCTTTCAATGTTAATTTTAACTAAGTGGAACTGGCGATGATATTACATTTTCACAGTGCCAAAATGAAGAGCAAAGTTCATTTCTGAAAAGACAACTAGCTTAACTCATTTGAATTTTCATTGTCTGATCATTAATTGTTTCGATGCTTATGAGATTATGATCAATAGGTTTGAGAACTTATGCTATTTATTATAAAAAGAGTAATGACTGACTTGTATCTGAAGACTTAGGAACTGGCCCATAAAAATCATCCTTTTCTAAGTGTTTGTCTTCCATTGGAAATCCTTTCGAAGATCTGGGCACATCAACCAAACTGCCGTCTGGGTGAACTCTGGGCTGGAAGTTCCCAAATTTACTCGCCTCCGGGGAAATGTATCCTGGATTTTTCGACGTCATATTTAGCGCTGATTTTACTGTACGCTTTTAAATGTCATTTGAAAACTTGAATTAAAACTCATAATAGCTGCTTTACAACTTTGATTTTAAATATCAAAAATTACGAACACAATCGAACTGAAAATTTTGAGCAGTTTTTGTTTGACAAAAGAAGAAAAAACTCTTTGCTTTCAATTTTGTTAGAACGCTGTTACTTAATTGTCGCGCGATGTGAAAGTACGGTTTGATGGTAAATTAGCATAAACTTCGACGCTCAAATAAGGGGCCATTTTTAAATTTAAATTTGACGTAATATGCCAGTCATCACTGCTTTTCAGTTTACATGAAGATCTGTTCATTAAACAACCAGCTTAAACGTTTTTTAGTTAAGCTTGTTAAACAGCACACAAACTATTCCATAAAACATTTGAAGCATAGTCTGTCAAAAATGTTTGGTTCGCCGATGACATTTACAAGGCCTGGTGCTTTTTGAGCCAGAAGATAAATAAGCCGCACAAAGGCCTCCAGTCAACTTCTGTCTGTAACTTGATCCCTGGTGAGAATTACAAGCGACTAGCACACACTTGAAAATTAATTATGACGTATTTTATTAACAACACTTTATGAAGTTGTACGAACTTCGTCAAAAACTTTTAAAAATGGGAATTCGAAAATATTGCATTTGGGGTCTTCTTTTATACAATCATGAACTATTTATGTATGGATGAATCAAAAATGCACACATAAAAATTTTAACAAAAAACAATAAATGTCTAGAAAATAACGAGTTTTTGAATTCATTATCTGTAGAAACTTTGCAAGTATTTTCAAATGAAAACATCTTTAATGCAACATTATGCGTCATTAATTGTTACTTTGGTATCTAGCTGCCCTTTTGAGATAAACTGATGTGGTAATAGCACAGACTTTTACTAGATAAAACACACCATATGTTTTCCCTCCATCCAGTTTCGGTCGCATATGTTCGTACAATTCCTAATCCTAATACTAATCTTAGTCCCACTCTTAGTCATTTAAGTTAAACTGATCAGAGTACCATCCATATTTATAGAGGGTTTAATTTATGGATAATGATTATTTAAAATTAAACACTTTATTAAATAATATTTTAGTTAAATATCTAAAAAAAACTTGAGTCTCATAAATTTTGAAAATGTTTGTTCATACCAAACCCGAAATTCTCAAAAAAACTTCGGTAGGAACTTTAAAAAAAAACGGATTGATACTCATTAACTTGATAAACAGTATCACAGAAGTTATTATTTTCGTTTTTCACTATGATTCAGGCGTAGTGATCTAAAATCGTCTATTTTCAAATTGATAGTTAAAAATTTTTGTCAGATATCCCTAGAGAAAAAATCCCATTGAAAATGAGGAGCAACTTTGTATTTGGGTGAGTTTTAGTTTTGTCTTCTTTTTGTTTTCCACACAAAAACAGGTATCACGAACAATCATCGGACTGGGTTGAGTGATATATCATATTGAAGCCCTATCAGTCGTAATTCGAGCCACATTTAAAAAACTCAAAAATTTTTTCCCCTTGTCGAGAAAAACCGGTTTGAAATTTTTGAATTTTCCGTCTTATTTCGAGCGATCAAAGCGAGCGAGCAGTATAATTTACACTTTTAATTGCTTAAAAGCTTACAATAGTTTTTTGTATTTTGTTTTCGTTTTTCTAGTAAATTTTCTACAAAAAACGTTTTTCACTTTGCTTATTTTAGTCTGGCGGTCAAATATACCTAATCCCTAGTTTTTTGGTCTGCTCCTTTAATCACACCATGCCAAAAAAACGACAAAACTTTGAAAAAACGTTGTTGTTTTTTTTAAGACCAAGGTCGGAATATTCTGTGCTACTGGCACAGTAACCGGCTATCCTTGTTTTGTTGTGTCAACTGTGTTTCCATGAAATGTAGCGAGCAAGTTTTCCGCAGTACTCAATATCTGTTTAATTATCATATTCTTCTTTTTTCAGCAATTGATTTGTTTAATAAATTACCCAAACCAAGGGAAACCGTATCGCTTCCGAAATGTTATATAACGCCTAGAAAAACATCAAACCGCTCACAACAAAAAAAATTATTCAACTGAAATTGTAATGAGAACCTGTTTAAAAAGTTGAAGAGCAAACCGCTTTTGTTCAAAGCACAAAAAAGCTATTTCCGAAAAGTTTCATTCATAGCACAATGAATTAACAAATACTCAGATACAAAAAAAATCATTAAAATGGGATTTTTGCTCGATAAACCCAAAAAAAATAATATTTGTTTGCAAAGTACACAAAACGCCGAAAAAAAACAAGACAAATCCATTCTAGAAATTGGTTTGTTAACACAAAAACCAGTATCAAAGAAATAATTATTCTTGCTTTTCAATCACGCGTAGTAATCTACAATTGTCAATTTTTACATAATACTTCAATCTAAAAGCAGTTTCAAAAAATTAGTCAGCTAAAAACAGAAACGTTTCTTTTACGTTATATAATCTGAGTTTCCATGAAAAGTGGCCGACCAAATTTTCCCCATTGTTCAATTTCTGTTTATTTTACATATTGTGTTTCATTCATAGCACATTGTGTTTCATTCATAGCCATATTGTAAATATGGTATCTAGCTGCCTTTTTGAGGTAAACTGATGTAGTAATATCGTAGACTTTTACTAGACAAAATATACTATATGTTTTCCCTCCATCATGTTTCTGTCGCATATGTTCGTACAATTCCTAAGCCTAATACTAATCTTAGTCCCACTCCTAGTCATTTAAGTTAAACTGATCAGAGTACCATCCATATTTATTGAGGGTTTTATTTATGGATAATGATTATTTAAAATTAAACACTTCATTAATGAGTGTTTTAGTTAAATATCTGAAAAAAACTTGAGTCTCATAAATTTTGAAAATGTTTGTTCATACCAAACCCGAAATTCTCAAAAAAACTTCGGTAGGAACTTTAAAAAAAACGGATTGATACTCATTAATTGATAAAGTACCAATCAAGTCTCATAAAATTTGAAAATGTTTTTTGATACCAAACCCGAAATTTTCAAAAAAACTTTGGCAAGATCTTTAAAATGGATTGATACTCATCAACTTGATAAACAGTATCATAGAAAATTTATTTTTGTTTTTCAACATTATGATTCAGGCGTAGTGATCTAAAATCAGATGGAGTATTCTAAAATCAGGCGTGTGTATTCGGGTGAGTTTTAGTTTTGTTGTCTTTTTGTTTTCCACACAAAACAGGTATCACAAACAGTCATCGGAATGGGTTGAGTGATATATCATAATGAAGCCCTATCAGTCGTAATTCGAACCACATTTAAAAATTTCAAAAAAGTTTTCCCAGCGTCGAGAAAAAGTGGTTTGAAATTTTTGATTTTCCGTCTTATTCCGAGCAAATAAAGCAAGCGAGCAGTCTAATTTGCACTTTTAATTGCTTAAAAGATTACAATAGTTTAATTTAAAACATTTTTTTGTATTTTTTTTCGTTTTTCTAGTAAATTTTCTAGAAAAATATTTTTTCAATTTGCTTATTTTAGTATGGCGGTCGAATATACCTAATTCCTAGTTTTTTGGTCTGTTCCTTTAATCACACCACGCCAAAACTTGTTGTAATTTTAAAGACTTAGGTCGGAATGTTCTGTTCTACTTGCACAGTAACCGGCTATCCTTGTTTTGTTGTGTCAACTGTGTTTTCATGAAATGTAGCTGAGCAAATTTTCCGCAGTACTCAATATCTGTTTAATTAACATATTCAACTTTTTTCGGCAATTGATTTGTTTTTTAAATTACCCAAACCAAGGGAAACCGTAGCACTTCCAAAATGTTATAAAACGCCTAGCAAAACTTCAAACCGCTCACTAGCTAAAAATTATTCAACTGAAATTGTAATGAGAACCTGTTTAAAAAGTTGAAGAGCAAACCGCTTTTGTTCAAAGCACAAAAAAAGCTATTTCCGAAAAGTTTCATTCATAGAACAATGAATTATCAAATACTCAGATACAAAAAAATCATTAAAATGGGATTTTTGCTCGATAAACCCAAAAAAAATAATATTTGTTTGCAAAGTACACAAAGCGCCGAAAAAAAAACAAGACAAAACCATTCTAGAAATTGGTTTGTTAACAAAAAAACCAGTATCAAAGAAATAATTATTCTTGTTTTTCAATCACGCGTAGTAATCTACAATTGTCAATTTTTACATAATACTTCAATCTAAAAGCAGTTTCAAAAAATTAGTCAGCTAAAAACAGAAACGTTTCTTTTACGTTATATAATTTGAGTTTCCATGAAATGTGACTGACCAAATTTTCCCCATTGTTCGTTTTCTGTTTTTTTTTACATATTGTGTTTCAGTCATCGATTTATGTGCAATACATCACCAAAACTAAGAGAAAACTATCCTTTCCGAAGATTTATACAAGGCCCATCAAAGCTTTACAAAAGCCATAAAAAAGTTATCAAATTGAATTTGTAAAAGGAAAGTGTCTTAAAAAGTCAACGATTAATGTTTCTAAAAACACAAATGAAATTCTTATTCCAAAAAATTACGTTTACAGTACAATGAATCAACAAATCATTTTAGAATTAAAAAAAAAAGGTTAATGAAACCGGAATTTTGTTTGAGAAAAAAACAGACTCATCAACAAATCAATATTAACTTTTTTATAGGTTTGAAAAATGAACCGTAAGCCAAAAATAAATATGACGAAATCAAGCTATTTTTTGTTTTTAATTCTGCATAGAAAAATAAACTCAAATATTTGGTTGAAAATTACACGATTTGATGTTCTAAACATTTTCTATGAGCCTCAATTTGTCTTCATGTTTCTTCGGGACTAGATTATCAGAAAAGACAATATTTTTCAGAAACAGAGGCAAGGCAGATTTTCGCATCTCCTGTTATACAACAAAAGCCACAAAAAAAGACGTGTTGTTTTTGAAGACTTAAAACCTACAAATAAAAACTAAAATAGTTTTTACTTACTACACTTAGGTATTTTTGAAGTATTTCTTCAAGTAATGCCGACAAAAATCCGTCCAAACTTTACTAAGTTCGCGAAATAATTATATATAATCACGGAAAACTGCAGAAACTTATTGAAAGTTCCAAGAGAAACAAAACTG